GAAAATTGCTAATTTGAAATGAGTGGATATGCTGTGGCACTGCTCTGGTGACATGGTTTGTAGGACAGGGACATCATTTAATAACTGCACTCCTTGCCTGTTCTGAAGCTATGTCCTCTGGCTGTGATGTCTAACAGTTTGGACCAACACATTCTGTCCTCTGTTATATAATATCTATTTAGATATTACCTCTCTCATTCAGCATATACATATGTATTTAGCTTAGCTTATTTGATATGCAGATGTGCTATAAGGAAATCATACAGCCAGTAGCCTTTAAGTTAACCACCCACTGGGGTGTGGCCTCTTATACTATATATGCCAGTGTAAAGCATGCATCTGGCCTCTTTTTCCAGCTGCGGGATATGGTTTCTATTCTCTGTTCCAGCAGAAGATACTGATTTGTGAGTTTACCCCTAAATAAATAACCACCTATTATTCTCAATTCTGAGCTAGTATGGGATTTCTGTTAAGCGTCCATATTCATAAGGCGCCCACGTGGTTTCGGACTCTACGCCTACCAGGGGGACAGTTTAAAAGCCTAGCCGGTCCACAGCCCAGACAGTCTCCCAACCCTGACCACTTGGCTTGCTTTTACCTATGTGGTTTTTTGTAGAACCCCTGCCACAGCAGCGCTTACTGCATAGGGCAGCTTGGAAATTTCCCAAGAGCATGCACGACTACAGCATTCCCCGGTGCGGTTCCCTGGCAGGGTTCCTTCCCACGTGGTGACTTGTGCAGCTTCCGATTTCTGCTCCCTGCCCATGAGTTCTGGGTTTCTTGCTCTGTGTATGGAATTGATTTAATTGCTTTAATTTGTCAAGCAAAGCATATTTCTGAGTATTTAATCAGTACTAAGGCAGAAAGTTAAAGCGCTCAGGACCGTTCCTGTCACCACCGTGACTCTGCAACCACAATATCTGCTGGAAAATAAAGACTACATTTTACCAGATCACATAACAGGTAAATAAATCAATATGGCAGATTTATATTAATATGGCAGATTATATTAATATTGAAACTTTTTTTGCTAATACTCTGGATTGTATTATGCTAAGCTTATATGATTATGGTGATACTTCATTTTATTGAGTAATGGGGTCATTTTTTATATTCTTTCATTAAGAAAGAATATGGCACTTGTAGGAATGATACAATTTTTACAGATTAATAATGAACAGCTAGTTGGCAGGATTAATACCATCAAAAATCCAAAATAGATTACATAATGCTTTATTAACCTTGAATTTGCTTCATGCTAATAAGAAAGGGACAACAATAGCAGAGAGACATTGGATAATAGAAAGTCTTCTGAATTAAATCAGCCAGTTTATTTCAAGGATGTGCTGACTTCACAATAGAAGCCAGGAGATATACTGCATTGGGGAAAGGGTTTTGATTTTGATTCCACAAGAGAAGAATAACTATGTATACCATCACAGGTGGTAAGGAAAGCACATAGGGTGGGAGCAGGGTTCTGTTCTTGTCTTTGCAGGAAAATACACATCTTCAAAAATTCAAGAGATCCTGGATGTTTGGATGCTGACAGAAGGAAAAATAACTATGCAGTTAGGATCATCAAGAAAAAGGAATATGACTTGCAAGGACAGGTGATACACACAAACACCCCCCCCACACACACACATATGAATATATAGAAAGAGTTGGACACTGACTCTGTCCCTCTCTGAATCCAAGCATTGTTAAAACAAAAATTCAGAGTTTCTTTCTCATGTCAGGAGTCATGATATGGGACAGAAAGAATAAAGAATTTAGAAAAAGATTTATTTTTCTTCATACCTATTTTTATCTTTATCATACCTTTCATTGAATATATATATTCTGTATAAATAATGTTTAAGTTTTTCACAATTAACAATGAATTTTGCTGCAGTAATCTTTGATGTTTTCAGGACGAAGATGGGGCCCCACAACAGCAACTCCACTTGGTTGATATGGCATCATGATGGTGATAGCTCTACTACAAAATCTGTGTTGGGTACCAGCTGCTCAAGATGGTTCCAACTTGGTTAGCTGAAGTGGTGCACTTTTTTTTATTTTACAACATTCTGGCCAGATCTCCAAATAGCAACCTAAGAATAACTCTACCAAATACTCAGAGACTATTTGCAAGTATACCAGACAGTAACCTTTGAACTTAACCATCATTTTACTTTCACGGGATCCCATAGAAAGAACATCACCCCAATGACAGCTGGAAGTAATTCTAGAAGACAATGTCCACTTTCCCAACAAAGTTTGTCCTCAGGATTAGGGACATCATTTAGGGGTTGATTATAATTAATATAGGGCTGGGAGTTTGGAGGGAAATTTTGTAGTTTCAGAAATCTCTTTGATAAATAAGAAAAATTGGATGGGATAATAGATTAGCGTGAGCTTACGCACACTAATAATAATAGTGAGTAACAGAGAGAGTACTTGTGAGCTATTATTTATAGGCAATTTACATTGGTAATAAGAACAAATATATTTAATAATTATCCTATTACAATGAGTTTAAGTCTAGTATAATTAATAACTTGGCCAAATCGTAAGAGGAAAGTAACAACTATCTAGTCTTCAACCCCATCAAAGATCCAAGAAGGGAAACAATACTACTTGAGAAGGGGAAATGCAATCAAGCAACTTCCAAAATGTGCAACAAATAACTGAGACAACTGGCTACCTGGCAATCACCCAAAATCTCATTTGCAACGTTGAAGCAACCAACTTTGGCTAAGGTCTAGAGTAACTGACAGACCATTTTTCAGAGGGAGGAAATTTTTCACAACTGTCTTACCCTATCTTGGCAAGATTTGAGAGTTCTGCTTATCCATTTCCGGATACCATATACCTTGTTAGTGACTGAAGTATGGGCAGTTTTTTGCATAAGACCACTTTTGCCAAGAAGAAAACAAGTTCCGAGTGGACTGTCTTCAGTGCTTAAAATTCTCTCGGGAATACATTGGTGATACCAGGAGCAATCATGTTACAAAAATGTTTTAAGCACAGGTAGAAGCATGCATGTATATAGAACTCTCTTATTTAAACAAAAGGGGGAAGTGCTGTAGGAAATCATACAGACACTAGCCTTTAAGTTAACCGCCCATTGTGGTGTGGCCTCTTAAACTATATATGCCAATGTAAAGCATGTATCTGTCCTCTTTTTCCAGCTGCAGAATTCAGTTTTTGTTCTCCATTCCAGCAAAGGATTCTGATTTGTGAGTCTACCCCTAAACATATAACTGTCTATTATTCTCAATTCTGAGCTAGTATGGGATTTCTTTTAAGTGTCCATCTTCATATATGTACCATGCACTGTATTTGTGTATATATGTGTGTATTTGTAACTATTCTCTTCAAATTGAAACAACTTCTGGATGGAGGAGGCATGAGTGTTAAGATTCAGAAAGTAACAGAATCTGGTTAGTTTCCCATATCTCAGCTTGACTGACAAGATAGTCACTCCCTAAGGTTACCCTAGTAGTAGTGCTTGCTGAGAATAAGGGTCTTTGAGCAGCTGAGTTACCTTCAAGCCATTCAAGGAGCTGGAGGAATGCAGCTTTTATGAGTTTTACCAATGCAGAGGTGGCCTTCATGCTAGTAAGGCTGCTTTGAAGTCATCTACATTCCTGTAAGTAGCTTCTCACCCATACTCCTGTAAGTTACCCCCAATAAACTCATTCACCAAGATGAGCTTGTTTTGAACTCTTTAGTCTACTGTCAGAAGGATGAATGTTTGCTTCTATCTCACCAGAAAATTCATACAACAGGCAAGAAGAACATGATAGGAAAATCTGGAAACCTCAGGTACATTGTGGAAATGGAAGAAAGGCATAAAGATATAAACTTCATGGTTCCGTTAAATGTTGGCAGAGTGTAAGGGCAATATTGTAACTAAGCAAACTAGGAGAGTGTCTGTTCAGAGTGACATCTGCAGCTTTACACAGGAAGGAAGATTTCACACTAGGTCAAAGAAATCTGAAACAATTGACTTCATTGAAAGGAAATGCTAGAGAAAATAATAATGTTGAGAATAATTATTTGCTGTTCTCTGGGATTTTCCTTTACCTTCTTTATCTCGTCAAAGATCAGAAAAATTAATACCAAATAGATGTCACTAAACAAAAATTATTGGTTCATTTTTCATGACACCAACAGAACCTATTGTCCCTATTAGTGGAGCCTTTCTTAAAACCTGGTTTCATTTAAACAACGTCTTACGCATACTTCTAGTGATAATGGGTGCTGCTGTTAAGGAGGGTTTACATTCTACACTTTTCACCCACTGTATCCCTTGGGAAGGCCCTGCACCTTTGACTCACTCAGCAAAATTTATGTTTTTTGTGCTAGTAAGTTATTTCCTGCAACTTCAATGACTCAGCAAAATCTTCTATATTTGATTGTTCAAGACAATATCAAGTCACTCCCTAGTACCTATAAGTTTTGCTATACAGAAAATCTCTTAGAACACAAGTCTTTAGGAAGAAGTGATGGGAAAATATTGGATAGAGTAGAAAATTTAGGGAAAAGAGAATTATTTGTTATTTAAAATTTGTATTGATAAACCAATATCAACAGCTTGATAACTCAGCTCTAAAGAAGAGATGATTGATGTCTATTTGTGTTTAAGATATTTGGCAATTATATACTTGTTTGTCAAGAGAGAGGGGGAATTTTGACTAAATTTTCAACTCAGGCACTTGTTTCTAAGAAATCATGGACTAAAACAATTTAAATTCCTTTAAAGCCAATGGAATGTTATGTTTGATAAAGAAAATGTGCTAACTGAACATTTAGTCAGTCTTATTCCACAAATTCACATACAGAAACAAAATAACATAGGGGTGTATATGAAAAAGATACACCATAGTGTTCTGAAAGGTCATAAATTATGGAGACCTAAATACAAAATGTTTATTATCTCAGTCTCCTTCTTGTTCTTCTAGTAGCAACTAAGGTAAGGAGATATCAGAATAAAGACATTATTAGCACTGTCAGTAAAAGCAGCTGTCTTTACACAAAAATTAGCCTTTCATTATACATAAAGGATAATAGAAGATTCACTGACCAAGAATTGATTATTCAGTGCTGTGTATTAAGCCCATAATCAAGAATAACCATTTGCTCCAGGCTTGACTTTGAAGGGGAGCTGGTGGTAGTGGTTTCCTGTGCTGTGGATCAGTTGCTGCTGCTGGGTAATGATGAACTGAGAGCTTTGGCGACCTGGAGAATGACAACATGACAACAAAAAATAATTTTAAAAACATGGTTCCCAACACTGGGACTGGGCTGTAAGTGCAACCTGGCAGGAGGGAGTTCCTGTGTTTCAATAGCCTACCTGTGGAAAAGTAGGCCCTGTGTCAGCTCAATGAGACTCCTGGCCAGCAAGGGGCACTGATCCTCTAGCAGAAGATCCATCAGAGGGGTGAGTTTGCTCCTGACCCGCGGCAGTAGCCTGGCAAGGAGGAGCTCAGACATTCCCTGACCGCATTGACTCCCTGGTCACTCTGCAGGGGCTAAGCCCTCTCGCCTCCTATCCCATCCCAGCTTTCACCCAGGAACCCCTTCCTTTATTCCTCCCTTCCTCCTGGGGTCATAAAATCCCCCAGCTCAGCAGCCTTGCATGCTGGGACTGGGCTGTAAGTACAACCCAGCAGGAGGGAATTCCTGTGTTTCAATAGCATGCCTGCAGAAAGGTAGGCCTACTGTCAGTGAGGTCCTTGGCCAACAAGGAAACCTGACCCGGTACCAGAAGATTCATTAGAGAGCATTTGAAGGAAGTGATGGGCAGACGCCAAGGCAGGAATTTCTCCAACAATCTGAAAAACAACATGAAAACACCAGATCCCAGCAACTCTACAACAGAAGGACTTGAACACCCTAAGCCTGAAGAAGTGGAAAAAAGTACCATTATGAAAGCAATAGAGTCCCTTAAACAGGATATGAATAACTCCCTTAAAGAAATGGATGAGAAAAAGTTTGAAGAAATGAGTAATGAAATGGAAGAGAAGTATAACAAAAACTTTAAAGAAATGAGTAAATCTGTAAATCATACCCTGGGAAACCAAGAAAAAACAATCAAACAGGTAATGTAAACAGTTCAAGAACTGAAAACTGAAATAGAGACAATGAAGAAAACACAAACCAAGGGCCGACTGGATATGGAAAATCTAGGTAAATGAACAGAGACTACAGAAACAAGCATAACCAATAGAATACAAGAGAGAGAAGAACAAATCTCAGATTCTGAAGTAGCCATAGAGAAAATAAATACTCTGATCAATGAAAACAGCAAATCCAACAAATTCTCATCAAAAAACATTCAAGAAATCTGGGACATAATAAAAAGACCAAACCTAAGAATAATAGAAGTAGAAAAAGGAGAAGAATTGTGGATCAAAGGCCCAGAGAATATATTCAACAAAATTATAGAAGAAAACCTTCCCAACCTAAAGAACAATATTCCTATTAAGGTTCAAGAAGCATACAGAACAACAAATAGACTGGATCAAAAAAAAATCCCCTCACCATATAATAACCAAAACACAAAACGTACAGATTAAAGAAAGAATATTAAGAGCTACAAAGGAAAAATGTCAAGTAACTTATAAAGGTAAACCTTTCAGGCTTACACCGGACTTAACTATGGAAACCATTAAAGCCAGAAGGTCCTGGACAGAGGTACTGCAGAAACTAAGAGACCATGGATGCAAGCCCAGACTACTATACCCAGCCAAGCTATCATTCACTATCAATGGAGATAACAAAATATTCCAGGATAAAAACAAATTTAAACAATACGTAGCCCCAGATCCAGCTTTACAGAAAGTAATAGAAGGAAAATCGCAACCCAAGGAATCTAACATTGCCAATACTGCCTACAATAACTCAGACATTTAGCGACCCTTCACAAGAACAACTCAAAGAAGGGAAATACACAAACTCTACTACCCCCCACAAAAAATAACCGGAGTCAACAACCACTGGTCATTAATATCACTTAATATTAATTGACTCAACTCACCTATAAAAAGGCACAGACTAAGAGATTGGATATGAAAACAGGATCCAGCATTCTGCTGTTTACAAGAAACACACCTCAACCACAAAGAATCAGAGTAAAGGGTTGAGAAAAGGTTTTTCAAGCAAACGGACCTAAGAAACAAGTGGGTGTGGCCATTCTAATTTCCAACAAAATTGACTTCAAACCAAAATCAATCAGAAGAGATGGAGATGGACATTTCATACTCATAACAGGAACAATTCATCAGGAGGAAGTCTCAGTCCTGAATATCTATGCCCCTAATATAAAAGCACCCACTTATATAAAATAAAAACTTTTAGAACTCAAGGCAGTCATCAAACCACACACACTAATAGTAGGAGACTTCAACACACATCTCTCACTAATGGACAGGTCAATCAGATAGAAACCCAACAGAGAAATAAGAGAATTAATAGAGATAATGAATCAGATGGACTTAACAGATATCTATAGAACATTCCACCCAAATAGGAAAGAATATACCTTCTTCTCTGCAGCTCATGGAACCTTCTCGAAAATTGATCTGCAAAATATACAAAGAACTCAAGAAACTAGACACTAAAACTCTAATTAATCCAATTTAAAAATGGGGTACTGAACTGAACAGAGAATTCTCAACAGAAGAACTTCGAATGGCCAAAAGACACTTAAGGTCATGTTCAACCTCCTTAGCGATCAGGGAAATGCAAATCAAAACAACTTTGAGATACCATCTTACATCTGTTAGAATAGCTAAACTCAAAAACACCAATGATAGCCTATTCTTGAGAGGATGTGGAGTGACAGGAACACTCATCCATTGTTGGTGGGAAAGCAAACTTGTGCAGCCACTGTGGAAATCGGTGTGGCGGTTTCTCAGAAAACTGGGAGTCAACCTCCCTCAGGACTCAGCAATTCCACTCTTGGGAATATACGCAAGAGATGCCCTAACATACTACAAAAGCATTTGTTCAACTATGTTCATAGCAGCACTATCTGTAATAGCCAGAACCTGGAAACAACCTAGGTGCCCTTCAATAGTAGAATGGTTTAAAAAGGTGTGGAACATATGCACATTAGAGTTTTACTCAGTGGTAAAACAAAAACAATGACATCTTGAATTTTGCATGCAAATGGATGGACATAGAAAACGCTTTATTGAGTGAGGTAACCCAGACCCAAAAAGAGGAATATGGTATGTACTTACTCATAAGTGGATTCTAGCCATAAATAAAGGACATTGAGCCTAGAGAAGCTGAATAAGAAGGTGAACCTGAAAAAAATCATATAGTTATCCTCCTGGATATTGGAAGTAGACAAGATTGCCAGGCAAAACTTGGGTGCATGGCGGGGGGTATAAGGGGAGATGGGGAGAGAGAAGGGAGAAGGGGAGGATGGGGGATAACTTGGGGGAATCGGATGGGGGGGAGGGAGGAAGGATGAATATGGGAGCAGGGAAGTATATATCTCAACTAAGGGAGCCATTTTAGGTTTTGCAAGAGACTTGATTCTTTAGGGGTTCCCAGGCCCAAGGAGAGGTCCCCAGATTGTTCCCTGGGCAGCAGAGAAGAGGGTGTCTGAACTGGCCTTGGCCCATAACCATACTGATGAATATTTTGCATATCACCATAGAACCTTCATCTGGCGATGGATGGAGATTGAGACAGAGACCCACATTGGAGCACTGGACTGAGCACCCAAGGTCCAAATGAGGAGCAGAAACGGGGAGAACGTGAACAAGGAAATCAGGACTGCGAGGGGTGCGTTCACCCACTTATACAATGAGAGCTCACCAAGGCCAGCTGAACTGGAACTGAACGAGCATGTGATCAAACCGGATTCTCTGAATGAGGCTGACATGGGGGCTGTCTGAGAAGCCATTGATAATGGCACTGGGACTTATTTCGTCTGCATGTCCTGGCTTTTTGGGATCCTAGTTTGTTTGGATGCTCACCTTCCTAGACCTGGAGGGAGAGGGGAGGAACTTGAACTTCCCACAGGGCAGGAAACCCTGACTGCTCTTAGGACTGGAGAGGAAGGCGGAGAGGGAGTGAAGAGAGTGGGAGGGTATTGGAAGGAGGGGAGGAAGTGGAAATTTTTATAAATTAATAAAAAAATAAAATAAAATAAAGAATAACCATTTGCTAGACAGAAGTAACTTTATGGAAGCCAAATTTTGCCTGTCCGTTTTAGCCACTTAATTTTTAATACATTTACTTATTTACTTTTTAATTTATTTTGTGTGTGCATGTAGAAGTAGGAAGACAGTGGAAGATTTGGCTCTTTTCTTCTATCATGTGGGCTTCAGGAATCAGACTTGGATCCTCATGTTTGCAGTAGGTGTATATACCTTCTTTGCCCTTTTTGCTTTTTTGAGTACACACTCCCAATTAGATCACCTACTACTACTACTACTAGAGTTGCAAGGGTGAAAATCAATGTCAAGAATGTGCAAAAAAAGCAGACAGTAATTAACATGTCTGAAATGTATAGGAAATGATTCAGTTTAACTTTGGAATATTTCTTCTTGCTTCTCCTTATTTTTCCATATCATTCAATCTTTTGCCCAGGTCCTTACTCCTCATCAAGTTCCCATGGGAAGATTTAAAACTGTTTGTTCTAACTGAAATAATATTATCCTAAACATCAGGACATTTCACTGGCTCCATAGTGTGGACTGAATCCATAAAAACAGAGATAGAAAGCTGCCAACATGGAGAAGACAGGTAACTAGGCAAATCCTATTCCTAGATGAGATCCTCCAAGACTGGGCTGGCTTTTAAGCATACTTCTTTCTTCTCAATTCAAGTTCATAGTCATCTATAGGTATCATTGACACTGACTTTAACATGAACTATTCAAGGGCAAAAGTTTTGAGATTAGCATGTTGATTGATGGAAAAAATTATGGTAGTGGGGTAAAGCTGGCGTCAATCAGAGCAATCCTGCAGCTATCAACTATAACTCTTGTCAAAATGAATAGCACTAATTTGGCTTTTCTTCCAATGTTATTTAGCCTTACAGAATTGAGAGAAAAATTGTATGAGATGTGAAGTATGGAAAATAAAGGGAGAAAACCAAATAGGAGAGAGGAACAAAGAGAAAAAATGTCTCAAACCCACACAACTGAACCATGTTTGCATAGGAAAAATTGCAGGAAGCCATATATATAATCTTTTAGAATTATCAAAGAAGTCAGC